GTAAGGACATTTACCCACTACACATATATGGGGCATATATTTGACTTTTTGTGTTCATCTTCCTAAAGTTGTAGTGGTATCGGGGTTAGCACCATTGCCTCACAACAAATGGGTTTGAAGCCACTGGCCACCTAGGTCCTTCCAAGATTGAATTCACTCACTGTTCCTGCAATCCGCATTGCAACCCACCTCCATTATATGCTCTTCACGCTACTTATAACTTACCGTGTAAGTTAATAAGTATTAACGGGAATTCTTGCAGTTTGAGGCCAAAGTGGCCATATTGTCCCTCATTTCCCTGAATAGGGAGCAGGATTTCCTCTTGTCATATAAGTATGCTGAAACATATCATCGCTGTACTGTTCACCCAAAGCCTCATGAGAAATGCTATCCTGCAAAACCCATCACATCAGCAAAGTCCAACAAACCTCATTATACCCTTGTTTCCTCATATCTGTTCTGCCAAATCTTCTGACATATGAAAGATCTTCAAATTTAGTCTTGTATAACACAGTCTGTGTTTCTTTAACCATAATGCAATGGCTACTTCAGAACAGTTACAAAACAATGACAACGGCAATATCTTTACCCTTGAAAAATGTAATCTCTCTTTCTTTTCTTTTTTTTTTTTTACAAACATTTAAACTTCTACCCGACCTTCAAAGTTGACTTTCATTTTCTTGATGAATGGAGAGATCAGTTTGTTTCCCTTCTTGCCTACCCTGCCAAAAAAGTCTGCAAAAAGCTTGTAGACCTTGCAGGCATTTGACCAGGTGTAAATGACATGATATTTTTCAGGGTGATTCAGAGGGGAAGGTACTGTGTCTCTGTGTTACCGTTCCTCCATGTCACACACCTTGGCACGTACCAGACCCCATCTCCCCTTGACTGGAAATTGGGAAATCTCTCTTACAGCCTCGTTTGCCACTAACAGCAAACCACACACTGAGAATAACGTTACCTTATTTAAAATTGCTGTGTCCCTTTGTGTCCTTCAAGACCTCTGCATCACTGCTGATATAGGCACTTCAGATTTTTTATTTTTTGGTGGATATTAGGCTTTTAAATGAATTTAAATATATCTATATATGATATACACTTCACCTTCACTGGGTGAAGATGCTGCTGGTCTTTGGCCTAAAAGACCAGGACCTGCCTTTAAACTGGGGCAAGTGCAATGAGAGAAATGTCATGATCTTCAAAGGTTCAGGACTTTGGAGTCACTGGAGGATACATGGGACTCAGGGTGACCACTGTTGAAAGGAATATCAAGGTAGAAATTGTGGGTGCAGCAACCTACAAAGGCTAAAATGTGCTTTAGCATTGAAGGGTGTCTTCATTTTTTACCATATTGTGCATAATTTCTTCATGCTTTAAATATTGTTGTTAAGTATTTGTGTTTGCAAAAGAAGAAAGATAATTCAGAAATTCTGATTATTAGTTAGTACCACAAGTACTGGCAGCACTAGTAGAACTGGCAGTGAAACAGCCCGGAGTATGATGGAGCCACCGTGCCTGGCAGAGGATACTGTGACACAGTGTTCTTAGGTTTGAATATGGTTGGGACAGGCTCCAGCTCCCGTGCAATCCTGAATTGGATGAGTAGAAGAAAATGAATGTAACTCTGTAACTGAGTAGTTAATGAGCATTGCAGTCACCAGAGCACTGGCAACTTTTATGCACTTATGTGCCTCTGGATTTGATGCCCTGGGTTCTGTCGGCTTCCACTACACGGGTTGCTATAAACTTTCTCTGTTTTTCTGTTTTGTGTTTCTTTGTTCTGGGTGGATTTAAGGATAGCAGCATCCACTTTGTCAGTAATCAATGGATTGTGTTAATAAAAAACATAGAGATATATTTTCTTGTCTCTCAGAATGCTTTGAAATATCTTTGGTGATTTTATAATCCTTCTTCTAACATCTAGCTTTTATCATCCATCTATTTTTGGTCTGTTGTGTGTTTCATGTCTTGACGTGGTTGTTTTTATAATATTAAGTCAAACAGACTATGTATATATGTGTTTATTTATTTATGTATGTATTTATCTGTCTTTTTCCGATATTAAATCTACAGTAAGGCCTTCAACTGTTCGTAAGTTAATGGTAAGTGTCATGCGGCGGCTGTGTGAAGGCAAGAGAGGACCTAAATGCACGGCTCTAGGGATGAACTCAAAGGCAGGTCTTTATTAACAGGAACATAAGAAGTCATACAAAAACTATACTGGGAGCAACTAAAGCTGAGGCGCTGGGAAGACACGGTAAATCCACACAACCTAGAGGGACGACGCAATACAGAACAAAGGGACACTCTGACATAAATACACAGAAGGTAACGAGGGAAGTGGGAACACACGGGGAACACAGCTGAAGACAATTACTCATGACTGAGCAGGGAGGACACGAAACTGAAAATACTGACACCAAGATGTGGACCTTAAACACAACACAGTACACAGAGATGAGCACAGAGAGAGAGAGGCAGAGAACAAGGATGAATACGAGGGGATGAGGAGAACACAGAACACAAAGGACGGGAACACGGTACCAGAACAAACACCACAATAAAAGCATGGACACAGGGGGAATCCAAATACCAAACCAAACAATCCAATGGACATAAGGAACAAAATACAAAACTACAGGAAAACTAAGAACACTGGGTCAAAATGACCCAGGACCATGACAGTAAGGGAGAGTTAATTGTAAGGTTAAGGTAGAATACTGTGCTACACAACAGCATAATCATGTCTGCAGTGAGTGGGAGATGCTCTGTATCTCATTGTACATGTGTATAGTGACAATAAAAGGTATTCTATAAGTCTTGCACCACCTCTCATTTCTTTATAATTTGCTAGGAAATGGGAAATAGGTGCCATGATCTACTTAAGGTACTTCAAAGTTATGGTGCCAGAAGGTAGACCTGATGTATTAGCTTGCAATTTGTGTGCTTATTGTTTTAGTTCCATTAGTTTGGTTCAGTTAGCTGTACTTATAAACGTCAGCATGGTAAACCAAGATGGTGACCATTAGCTTGTTAGCACTGCCACTGCTGTTTTCATTTGGCTTGAAATACTACATAATGGCAAAATTGCTGTTCACTTGGTTCTCTTTGTTTATATTTAGACTGATACAGAAGGACAGTACCACATCGGCATGATCGTGAATTTGGATGAATCATTTAGGTAAATATTAGAAAAAATACTGGCCATTCAGTAACAACTGCATGGGTGAGTCTAATACAGAGATAGTCTAAAACACATTGAACATTCACGGTACCAATACTTATTTTCATTAATCACAGACGTTAAAATGAAACGCATTATTGCTCAAGAATTTCAAGTGAATAGGGCCTGTGCTAAAGAGGTTTGTTTTTTTT